ATATCAGGTTAGAAAGGAATACAAGGTATGTTGGGCTGTGGGAATATTAGAGAAGGTGGTGCTAAGGTGGCGTCGACGGGGTGTTGGTCTTCGGGGATTCCGACTAGAGGAAGAACCCATCGAGGAAAGCGAGGACGAAGACATTCTCAAGTTGTTCCGCAAACAGAAAGTGGATGCTGCTATAAATGAGGCCGTCTCTAGAGTGCTATCAATGGTTGACTCTCCAGAAGCACGCCAACAATATCATCGAATTCTTGAGAAGTACCGACAAGCTAAGGTTAGTGAAGCATCCATCTACTATCATAGTATTGAAATAGTTAAATCTGCTTGATCTGCTGACTTCAACAACTCAAATGTAAACGCTGTTCAGCATCTTTCGGTAGATGCAAGCTCACTTGGTAGTTTACCTGTGGAAATGCTTACCCACACCGTTTGGAAATCCTCCCTCTATCCCCATGTAAAATTCTGTGAAAGGGAGCATATAGTGAAGTTTATCCACCGGTATGTTTCTTATATTTCCGTGGAACTTTTTGAAGTTCCCCATTTTCTTGTCAAAAACTAAAAAGTTTTTCGGGTGCAAAGTTTATATTTTCTAGTATAAAATAAATACGGGAATTGTTGATAACGTGCCACTCACTGCATAGGTTTTCTGTCCTGGATATGAAGCGTGACATATGATTGAAAAAATACAGCTTCAAATCTTATTGTGGGTCAATACATGGGAATCGGTAGTTGCCTAGTGGTATCCATTTAACCAAATTCATTCTATTTTTTAAAACTGAATCCACGGACATTCTTGTGTATCTGTCTCCATTTCTCCTTATAACTTGTGACACATGGAAGCTTATGCTTCATCGATCTATGTGTTTCGTCCATATCATATCTATTCTGTACTTTTACGATAATAGTGATAACTGCACCGACTCCTGTTCGACTACCTAGTTTTATACATTCCCTAGCAGCACAGAAGTTTATTTTCAATTACAACCGACTGTGGCTTTAACCAGCAGTGTAGTTCCTGTAACACCTTTTTTATTCAGAGCAGGGCAAGGGGGAGCTTCTTGGCTCCTTGATTGTAGTTTGAAATCAAAAAAATCATGCAATTAATCTTCTTCACCATGTCGCAGGCTGAGCTTGGAGTGAAGAGTGATACAGTATCCACTGCACATGGTGACATGGAAAACAGTGATATATAGGTGCCTAATCAAACAGCGTCTATACATCCCCTGAATTTCTCATTGTCTTTCCTACTTCAGTTTGGTTTTAAATGTAATCTGTTATTATGTGTAAAGTATTTTGTAGGTGCTGCTCATAATTTGTATAGGTGGAAACAACTTTTTTCTTCATTTTTGTGCCTCCAGACAAATCAGTTTGAAATTTCTTTTGCTATTGTACATATTCTTATGTTTTTTGGTGCATTGTCCACTAAAAAAAAGGGTAAATGTTAGACTCAGCTGTTCTACTATGAATGTTATTGCCTCTTCTGTTAATATTTTTTTTTTTTGTGGAAGCTTAGAAATATTATAAGCAATGTATCTAATGTTTTAGATTTTGATCTACGGGGATAAGGGATAATTAATCCTGAGATGAGTTTATCCCACATTTGGTTGGGATAAAATCGCGATATAACTAATCCCGGGATTGTAATATTTTTTAATCCCTATGGAAAGATGGGATAATATCTCGAAATAACTAATCTCGGGATGTTATTTCGGGATAATAATCCTGTGATAACTTGTTCCCAACCAAATGACAGAAATTTAGCCACTTTGCCAAAACATTGATTATACTTTTGCAGACTCTAATTTAACGAAAATGGTTTATTAAAAACTTCTATTTTATCAGACAACTAGTATAGTTACCTGCTCTTCCCGCAGGCATAAAAAATATCATCATCGAATTTACAAAATGGTATTTTTGAATTATTATAGGTAAGGAATATATAAAAAAATTCACTTTGAGTTATAAGTTTGACTTTAATAAACATTTCATCCAAGTGTAGGAATAATAAAATAAGGAAGTAAAAGATGGACTTACTTTGCCACTCCAGCTAGATTTGTTACGTAATTCATTAAGTGAAAGAATAAAATAAAATAGGTGTTTCCTTGCTTGATTTTCAAAATTTCTTAGGATTTATTCCATTCCACTCATTTAACTAAGAACGAAAACAAAGAATTTCGAAATTTGAAAGAAATTCAAGTCTCAATTGAACTGTCAATTTCATTTTCAAGGGGTAAAAAGTTCTGTAAAGCTTTAAAAACAATTAATAATATATATGCTGCTCTTAATTAGGTCTATAGAGACTAGACAGTTGAACTGGGAAACAAAAATAAAACTAATGATCATATATTAAACAAATTAAAACTTCGTGACAACAAAAGTACCGTGACAACATTTTACATGTACATCAGTGTTAAGAATATGAAAAGGCTCAAGAAACTTATGATAATTAAAGTGATTTGATGACAAGATGCGGGAAGCGAGGCTTAGATGGTTCGGACATGTTCAGAGGAGAAGCCCAGATGCTTCGGTACGGAGGTGTGAGCAGCTGGTTACGGAGGGCACAAGAAGAGGTAGAGGGCGGCCTAAGAAGTATTGGGGAGAGGTGATCAGGCAGGATATGGCGAGGCTCCAGATTTCCGAGGACATGACACTTGATAGGAAGATGTGGAGGTCGAGTATTAGGGTTGTAGGTTAGGAGGTAGTTGAGTCGTGCCTTACTTCGTAACATGCTGGGACTAGCCATGTAGGGTTTTTGTCTAAGATAACTAGTGGGAATGTTGTGGCTTACTATTTCGTTTTTCAGTGCAGGTCCTATTTACTAGCTATCGCTTTTGCTTTACATCTTTCTTCTAGATTTCATGGTGTTCCTATTTTTTTTATGACTGTTGTGGTGATACTAATATTTACTAATATTGTCTCCCTTTACTTTACATCTTTCTTCTGGATTTCATGATGTTCCTATTTATCCTATGATTGTTGTTGTGATACTAATATTGTCTTCCTTTTTGCCCTTTTGTCTTTTTGTTTTTTTGAGCCGAGGGTCTTTCGGAAACAGCCTCTCTACTCCTTCGGGGTAAGGATAAGGTCTGCGTACACACTACCATCCCCATACCCCATACCCCATTAGTGAGATTTTACTGGGTTGTTGTTGTTGTAAAGTGATTTTATGAGATAAATTTCAGAATATTATGGGCTTATTACCTTGGGATTTTTTATAAGTCGTAGCAAATATACGTAAATCAATGTTTCAAAATCAGAGCTCCACCACACTCCCAAAGACATTCGTATGTAAACATTAAATGAAAGATTTATGAAACTCATAAATATATAACCATCATCAACACTCATGGATAGATTATGTAAGAAAAATTAAAATATAGTAGAGTATTATTGTCCTAATTTTTATAAAAGAAAATCCATCACTACTGATTAGACATCCTTTTAGTTTTCTTTTAACATTTTATATACATAATTACAGGTTAAATATGAAACAACATACTTAAATCAATTTATGTGAATTTGACTACAAAGGAAATCGACCAGGAAACCAAACCCAAATCCCACCAAAACCTCCTGACATAATCACAAACCCAGTCCCACCCGCACCATCCTACAAGGATAAACTGCTGAAAGATGAAGTCTTTATTGCCAATACATACTCAATGGATAGGACTTCAGCAATTCCAATGGAGATTTCAATCATCAGAGACAGAAGCAACTAAGCTGGGGGAATCGTCACAAAATGTGAGACAAATAATTCTAACGGAGGATGACAGGAAACGCATCTACAATCCTTGGAGATATTCAGTCATTATAAAACTTATGGGGAAGCGCCTAATGCACCACTATCTCAAACAAAAAGTACAAGACTTGTGGAAGCATAATGAAAACTTTTCATTAATTGACGTTGAAGAAGACTACTATACTGTCAAGTTTGCAAAAGAAGAAAACATGATCAAGGTGCTTCAAAATGGACCTTGCTTTATAAATGGCTTTTTCTTATCAGTACAAAAATGGGTGCCTAATTTCGTAGCTAAGAAAGCACAACAAAGTTACACTGCAATATGGGTACGATTACCACAACTTCCTACAGAATTTTACGATAAAATTATCCTAACAAGAATTGGAAACAGTATTGGAAAATTACTTAAAGTAGACGTGTGTACGTCAGCCACACTAAGGGGAAGATACGCAAGGCTGTGCCTGAAATTGCCATTGGAACAGCCAGTACAAAATCATATACTGGTTGGACATCACAAGCAAGCTATCCTATACGAGGAAGAAAATATACTCTGCAAAGCCTGCGGAAGGATAGGGCATACGTGCCATAATTGTTCCTACTCTAATCAACCAATCAAGCAAAAGGGAGAACAAAAACTATTGAAGATATCTCAACCCGTGCAAGAAGAAGATCAAGAGTGGCAGACGGTTTCTTTTCCCAAAAAAGCAAGGTTATAATATTCAAGTACTCCAATAATATTGCAAGCTCATCAAAGGTGCTAGGTATTAATGTACGCATCTATGATGCTTCTTCTACTGGTAAGTACTTTAACACTCAATAATTGAAATATGTCAACAAACAACACCTTGAAGACTCCAACAATGACCCAAAAAAATTCATCCCACAACGCCTGTTAACAGTCAAAAAAATTACCATGTTAATATTGAAAAACCACTTCATGGACAGAGGAGCAGTATTGCCATGCTGCAAGAAGAGCACATGGTTTTGAAAAAAAAAAAAAATGAAAATAGTAAAATCTCTAAACGCATGCATGAACCAGTAATTACTGACATTACAAGTATCAATAATGTGGCAACAAATGCTTGCTACACTAATAGTATTAGTTCCACGCTTAACCCAAAAAAAAAAAAACATAAACAATTTCTTAACCATCAACCGGACACACTAAGATTACTTCTATTACCCTATCAACAATGATAACACTATTACCATGGGCTTAACCAATAATAATCGACATGCAAAACACTCTCCTCACAACCAACCAACAATCGAACACATGGATGATAATACTAGCCAAGTGGCAGAGGCCATATCCATGCAAGATTTGGATAAAAACCTTACGCCAACCCTCTCAAATCCCATGCAAATAGAGTCCATCATTACAACCTCTCCCAATCTCATAGACAATAGCTCCAATATAAAGAAGGAAAAATACCAAAATGCCAAGAGTACCATTAACACTAAGGCGCAGATATAGGCTCATCCAACTCTGCCACTTCTCTCGCCAACTAAACATGAATAATCTTCCCCCTCTACCTCCTCACTTCCCCTCAAACCCAGTGATATATGCCCAACCACCAAATTCACCAAATCACCAACCCCAATCGTGGGTGGAGTTAGGTCTCTTGGGCCATGCAATCTCATTCAATCTGGAGATCAATGGCCAAGAATCCATACTGATAATCCAAAACACTCACTATCTTGCACAACTAATCTCAGAGGGAATGAACAATGAACAACTATATAAACCAAATGTGGATGAACAACATCCTCCAACCACTTGCACCTTCAATGAACCAAAATCTAATTCACACCATGCAACACATGTGGAATATACCAAGCAGCTCCAATCAACAGATTCTACAAAATCCACCACTAAACCTCCCATTCTTTGCACCGGAGGAACTAACATTAATGAACCCAATATTCACCCAATGGACTGCACAACATAGGGAAAACCAACCGATGGCACCACAGGCAGATCCAATGGAAGATCAAGCTCCACTACCAAACATGCAAAACCAGGAAGGAATGCACGAGGAAGAGGAGGAGGAGGACATCATGCCATAGTTGGGGGAACCATCAGTGGTATTTTCAAGCCTAAGCGAGGTAAAAATACTAATATTCAAGGAGAGGCTAGACAGAAAATCTATCTTCAGCTATCCAGTGACACTCTTGAAGTGCTCACTGGACATAAGACCTCCACATGTCCCTACAGTGGGGAAGAATGTGGTGATATTGGTTTCATCCCTAAGGAGAAACCCCAACAACAACCTAAACAATAACCCAATACTGAACCAACCAAATAATATTATAATCTGGAATGTTAGAAGTGCTAATAATGACAACTTTAGGAGGAACTTTAGAGAGCTCATGGACACCCATAGGCCATGCCTAGTTGCTATGTTTGAGACCAAAATGGCAAGCAACACACATATTCTGGAGGCTTTCGACTTCACTGAGATGATTGAAGTTCTCGTTGTTAGCCATGCTAGCGGTTTAGTTATCTTATGGAACCATGATATGGTAACCGCCAATAACTTCACTAGAAGGGGGCAGAAAATTTATGCAATGATTGAGGTAAAACCCAAAAATCTTACTTGGCTTTTTAGTGCAATATATGATAGTAATGACATACTAGATAGGAATATTTTATGGGATAACTTAAAAAGAATTACTAACTATTATAAAGGTCCTTGGATAGTTGGTGGTGATTTTAACGAATTAATTGACTCTAGGGATAAATTTGGTAGTAGACATATAAATCAAAGACGGGCCAATTCTCTTATTAACTACCTGAATTATTATAACCTAGTAGACTTAGGGTTCAAGGGCTGTAAATACACTCGGTCTAACCACCGTAGGAAGAAAAATGATTTAATTATGGAAAGATTAGATAGGGTATATTCGAATGTGGATTGACTTGATGCTTTTCCAAATGTTATTATTACTCACCTTCCAAAGACACATTCGGATCATAACCCCATTCTTATCAACCTTAAAAAAAATGACATCAATCAAGACAGACCCTTTAGAATAGAAACATTTTGGTGTTCTCATCCTGACTTTGCTAATCTTGTAACATATAGTTGGGAAAATAGGGATCTATTAAGTGGCACAAACTTCTTCATAAGCGAGAGCCTAATCCAACAAGTAATAACTTAAAAAAAACATTAGCATCAACTGGCAGGCTCCTCCTACGGGTTGGAACAAAATAAATATTGACGGTGCTTTCAAAAGCGAGAGCCTACAGGGAGGAATAAGCGGAGCCATCCGCAACAACAAGGGGCAATGGGTAATGGCATACCACAAGAAGTGGAGACAGATGCAACGGAGATTATACGCTTCCTTCATGACGACTACCCAACTTACAATGAATTAATCTATGATTGCAGGTGGTTAATGGAGCAGCAATGCAAATGGGGGAGATCGTGGTGAAACATAACTTTCGCGAAGCAAATAGTGTGGCACATCTGTTGGCAAAGGAAGCTCTTATGCAGTCTAGTTATAATAAATTGTGTACTTTTGTTTCACCTCCTGAATCAGTGATAGATGCCTATCACAAAGATCAGGGAGGCTTTGTTTGTGTAAGGAAAGTTTCCAATAGTTTGTGTTGTAAGTTGGCTGCCTTAGGATAACTATAGCCTATCGAGGCACTTGTAATGACGGTAGTACGCTACCACCCGTTCTCTAGTTATTATAAATAAATAAATATCTTTTTATGCTAAAAAAAAAACTACAAAGGAAATGAAAATGAAAAATAATGAGAAAGAGAAAAAAAGGTAAAATATAAAAATATTGGAATATAAACAATATTGTTTCATATCTCTCGAATAAAACAACCTGATGATTGTATCCCACAAATTAGCCATAGCAAAAGACGTAAAAGTTAAAATTCGAGAATACAAGAGATAAATGGCGTTACAAAACAAACGTATTCAACATCAAGTACCAGAAGATGACAAAAATGAGTAAGTTAGGCATAATAACTAAGAAATTAAAAGAAAAAAGGTGAGAATGCAATATATTAGTACTTAGTAATTACCCAGAAAACAAAGAGAGCGTAAAATATTAAGGGAAGAAGGAATGTCTGGTTTCTTTTCCTCTTTAGCTGCTTCTGATCCCTTCATAACTGCTGCTGTCTTCATATCTCCGACTATTGGTTGCTCCTTCATACCCGATTTCTTCACTGTGTCATTAAATAGTTTGGAATAGACCACCATTAAATTTCTTCATTTAGTGCCAGGAAATTAAAAGGCATGGAAATAAAAGGTTTTAGAACTGAAAAAGAGAGCAGCAGATAGTTGGCATGATATATAAGGTAAAATAAATTATTGTATTTACTAAATTTGCAGGTATCTTGGCTTTCGTAAAGAAAGCAAACCGCTAGTTTCAACTTTTATTTAGCAGAGGGTTTTGTGGGCTCTAATTAGAGAATTGTATTACTTATAGAGGCTTTTGGCTGCTAATAGACACGATTACTCGTTTTATAATTTTATTAGTAATAACGTTTGGCCGTCGAAGGTTGAAACGATTGTTTTAACGAAATTAATGTTTAATGGCGGGTGAAGAGCTCCTTCAGTTTCTCTCAAGTGATTGACTAAATAGCCGCATGGATGAAATTGTAACCGTAAGCGTCTGTTCGCATTGGTCACTTATTAGAGAAGATTGGAAAAGATTTTTTTTAAACAACAAATAAGGAAAAATAAGGGGAAAATGCAAAAAAGGCGAGAATAGATAAATAATAATTTTGGGCTAAGAGATGTGCCATGTCGCACTCTTTGACTATAGATTCAATTTAGTTATCCAAGAAGTAGCGCGGGAGATTCTAGCTAAACGTTACATGTTGATTGACGTTATTTGCACGGGCTTCAAAATCTTTAGTTTATTGTCATGTTAGTGTATTTAAAAGAAATATATACGGGGATGTACATGTGGTCTATTTTACTAATCAATTATAGCTTATGTTCTTTTTTCTTACCTATTTAGGCTATTTTGTATATAATTTAAATCTTCTTTTTATCTATTAACAGGGTATTAAGAAGATGTGTGTGTTAAAAACTGATTTGAGACTAATATTCATATTTATCATTATAGATTTAAATGGTTGTTGGGTGAATTAAAGTGAAAAACTAAAATTTTTATTATTGTGGTTTTCAAAAGCTCAAAAACTGATTAATGGGTTTTGTAATTTGTTAAATTTTGTGACAATTTGATAATTGAGGTTTGCTCTAATGTCATGTTGAAGTTTTGTGGTTAAAATTTAAAGCTATTCGGTGAAGACTTGAGCTATTTGGTGATGTTTTTAGTGAGTTGAAGAGTTTGTGGGAGATGAAACTCAATTTTTATATAACATTATTGTAAGTGTATAATGATGTATAATATTGCATACTGGGTGTATAAATAAGGTTGCAAGAAAATAATGAGCTATGTGACTATAAACTTAAAAACATACCTAGTAGGTTCAATGTAGTGTATTTGATGGTACTTTAATACTCCATCCGTTTCAATTGACTGGGCACGAAGTTTAAGAAAAAATGAATGACTTTTGGAATTTGTGGTCCTAAATAAGTTAAAAAGGGGCCAGAGTATTTGTGTGGTTATAAAAACTTCTTATTAAGGGTAGAATTGGAAGTTTAAGCTAAATTATTTTCAAATTTAGAAAGGGTTATTATTTTTGGAACGGATCAAAAAAGTAATAGGTTCACATGAACTGAAACGGAGTGAGTACAAATTAGGACTTCATCCGTATGGATCAAACTTGTGCAAGTGTACAGTTGACACAAGCTCAATAAACATGGGAAATTTATCTTGTCATAAATATTTGCTTCACAATGATGACGGCAATAACGAAATCTTAGAACGAAATCTCCTTTAATGCCCTAATATACAGGATGAGATCCTCTCCAGTAGAGTTTCCTTCAGTGGTGGATGGGATCCAAGTGTCTAATTTTGATTTAACGGTTGAGATTTTTTAAACTACAAGATACAAATTACGCTAAGTGTCCTTATAATATGACATAATTTTAGATGCACCATATGTATTTTTAAATCAACACTTACCAAAAACCCTACGCATTCTTATTTTTATTATATATAACATAGTAAATATATAGACAAAGTTGCCCTTATCCCCATTTCTGTTATCCCATTCTTAAATAATTTTCGTACACCTGGCTTTGTCCTCTTAAGTCAAAGATTTGAATCTTCTTCTTTATTATTTTGGTGCTGTTACTTCTTACTTATTATCTAACACAATAAAGCAGTAAAATTATGTAGTGGAATTGCAGCTTTTACCAACTAACTAGAGAAACTCATGACAAGTTGCAAAACAGAAAAGGGCCAAAACTGTCCCTACACTATTCGATTTGGTACAAAAATGACCTCCATTCATCTATTGAGCCAAAAATACTCTCACCGTTATTTTAGTGGCACAATTATGCCCTTATTACTAACAGACTTATTTAAAAGAAATAGAAATCCTTTCCAAAATCGCCAAAAACTGAACTCTACAACTTAAAATATGCTAAAATGAACCAAACCCTCGAAATAGATTACTATTTAATCTGCCCAGTTATTATTCTACGCGATCGCAGAAAAGCACTCGCGATCGAGGAGAACAAATTCCAGCCTCTTATGCGATCGCGAGACTACAGTCGCGAATGCGATGACCAGTCATCCTCAGGCTACGCGATCGCGGTCGAGTCCACGCAAACACGATGAACAATGCGTGCCACCATAAAACCTCTCCTTCCTTATACACGAACGCAATCCCTCACCCGCATTCGCGATGCACAAGCACCCCAACATTCATGATCGCATTATATACTTCGCGAACGCGAAGAGCAAAAGCCCATCAGCCAACAAGGACTCTACGCGATTGCGACTAATCCTTCGAGAACGCGATAAAGGAAACTAGAAGCACAGAAAACCAGCAGTCACAACACATGAATGAATGGTCCAAACTTCATCCGAAACACATCCGATTCACTTAGAAACTCTCTTGAAACCAAAACAACTACTCCGACAAGTCACATAACCATAATAGAATATAGAGGAGACAATAAATAGGGGAACCGGGCTAAAATACTCAAAACGACTAGCCATGTTGTTACAAAAAGGTGAAAGGAGGTCAAAGAAACTCACTTTTTTTGGACATCTTGAGAGACTGATTTGAGAGGAAGTGAACCGTTAGGCTCAGGTCTCACAAAGAAGTTTGAATCGCTGATGGTTTTAGAGGTTCTGAGACATGATGATGCTTTACTTGATGGATCTCAAGTGGATT